TTCTCCCTCTGACCCTCCCCCCTCTCATGTACTCGCTCTCTCTCATTCTCTCTCTCTCAAATAAATAAATAAAATCTTTAAAAAAAAAAAAAAAACCACACAGTCAACATATGGCCTAGCTACTTTTTAGTATCATCTCATTATTTTCATAATGTTAAGAAAACAAATGGATATGACCGAAGCTTCCTCTATCTGCTTGGATAGAAAATGAGTCAGATCCAGGTTCCAATACCAACTCAACCTTGTCCCCTGTTGTAGCTATGAGACCCCGAACAAAACACTTTCTCAGGGTCCAAGTTTCCTTCATATATAAAATGACGATGTTTAATTCAATCTCTTTAAACATTATGAAAACATTTAGAAGGCCAAATGTGAAATCAAGTATTTCAAAAGCAGGAGGAAGTTAAAAAACAGGCAAGGCATAGTCATTGGTTATTTTTCATAGTAACCCTGTCAAGACTTGACGGCTAAGCTCTTCAAAAGGCAAGCTCAAATGAAAAACTATGAAAGAAAATTATTTTCAACTCTGCAACACATTCTCAGGTGAGGAGGGCTGGAATGTTTCCCCACTTAGTCAGATTAAGCTCTAAATTAATTCACATTTTACTTTTCACAAGGCTTCTCTAAATCCAGCCTGCCTGTCTTCCAAAGTCTACTGCACCATTACATGGGGTGCCAATGAACGATGGATACTGGGTAATTGGATTGTGGAGTTTTAAGTTAAAAGAAATCCTTTTTTGATATGCAAATGATCTAAAGAAGAGCCAGCCCCCATAGAAACCATTGCCAACAAACTACCACCTAGTTTTCAAAGCACATCAGTGTAACTTATTCCCTAATGACTCTGTGAAGTAAATAAGGCAAGCACTTTTATTTTCATCTGACTTGTGAGGAACTGGGGGTTCAGAAAGACTATCTGACTTGCCAAAAGTCATTGCGTCAAGCCTCGGCAGCACTGGGGGCATAACCAGCGTTCATAATTCCCAACCTGGCACTAATCCCAAGATTTTAACAAATTTTTACCTGGTACCGTCTGTCCTCTGAGACCCTGCGGTTCTTGACCTGCGTGAAGCAGACCCCCTCCTCCTCCTCGATCTCATTGGTCCCACACTGTGGTCTGAAGGGGGTCTCAGGAATTCCAGCATGCCATGAAGTCTCTGCAGTCCACTGATGAAGGTGTTCATTGAATCCAATGAAGACACTGGGATGGGGCGGTTAACACGAGATCGCTGCCTATGTTCCTCTGAAGCCCCTGGATTAATGTTTTCCACACGGTCTTCTCCCAACAGCTCCACTTCTTCTGTCAGGTCAACCGACACCTGTGAAGCAGGCTGGAGCACATGCAGTCCCACTTGGCTGCTGGTCCCTTCAGCTGGAGCGGGCTGGGGCAGGGGTGGTCCCCCTTGGCCTCTGACCACTTCAGTAGGTAGAGGCTGGAGCAGGGGTGGTCCCCCTTGGCCGCTGACCGCTTCAGTAGGTAGAGGCTGGAACAGGGGTGGTCCCCC